TCCACATTTTCTTATCATTGACGTATAGGCAAAATTTACCCGATCTATCTAATCTGAAATATACCTGCAATTCCTTATATATAGCATATATATAGCTTTGACTCTTTGCATCGACTCTAGCTAACACTCGCTTTCAGTTGCTTTTGCGGTTGCCTTTGCCGTTGCGGTTACGTTTTCTGTCGGGTTGTTCAACTCGTGCACACATTTTGCATAAATTTTGTTTCGGTTTTAGATTCTGTGAGCCGTTCAGCAGTTGTTTGACAGCTGCTATTAGTGACAGTTCAGCTAGTTTAAAGAGTTCATAAATTGAAAAAAAAAGAGAGAAATAAATTCTCACCTGTCTTAACATGTTTTGTTTTCAAAAATTTTAAAAGCCCTATACATGGTCAAATTAAATTTAATAATGTTAAGGATTTATATATTTGTCATATATAAATAGATATATAAATAATGATATCTTCAATACATTTATATAATATTATCAGAATTGGTGGATCAAGTTTCCTATTCAGAGGCCCTAGTTATTTGAGGAGCAGCAAAAGCTTTGGTGATATATGTATCTGATCTTATCATTTATGTAAATGTTTTTTTCAAGGAACGTTTATGGGTTTCAATTTTTAAGGAGCTTCTTCATTGGCTCATAAAATGTACCTAGGCTCTCCCCTTCTGCGTATAGAGTAGGAGTAGATTACCTCTGTGACCATAGTTAAAAATATACATAAACATAAGTTGAACTATTTTTAGTTTCAGCATATTTATGCTTATTTTTGCCTTTATGCACTTTACAGTAATAATAAAAGTAGGGAAAATAGTAACAACTACTCACCGATTTTCCAAATAACGCATAAAATGGTATTTCGTTTCAAGCACAAAATTGGCTAAAACGAGTAGCAAATGCGAAAAAATCGCTGTAAAAATGTTTGCCAAGTGCCTTAAAAATCCGTTAGACGAGTTCAACTTGCGAAAATTCGTAAGACGGTTTAATGTTTTATTTCTTTATTTTTGTTTTTGTTTTCTTCGTTTTTGTTGTTGTTGTTTTGTTGCTTGTTTACACAAGTTTTTGTGCAGTCGTTAGTTTTATGGTTTGCACAAAGCCTTAAACTGTTTTTCTTCTCTTTTCTTTTTTGCTGAAATGTGCAAAAGGCTTTCAATTAGAAATAACCATTAATCGTTTATATTGAATGCTCTTAAGTTTTAGGATCCACGCTCTTAAACTTAACAACTATACAAAGCTACAGAGACATGAAAATGCTTTTATGCTTGGGTTTTTTTTTTATAGACAAGCAATGATTTTTGCAACATTTATAGAGCTAACTATTCAGAAATTAAAATATAACATTTATTACAACATTTGAAACTTGATGATAATTGATGATAATTGGAGATTTTTGAAAAAAATTTGATATCCTCGTGCTATACAGAGCTCCACAAATTTTTATAAAAAAATAAATAAATAAATAACATTGTATCGCAGACATCAAAAATGATTTCAAAGAAAACCTTGACATTAGCTTGTTTATCTTCGAGCAGCTCAGTTTACATGTCTCGTAATCACCAATCAATCAAGCTACAGTAGCCACTCTAATGAAGGACAGCCACATTAAGATATTTAATTGCATAAGCTGGAATGGCTTTAATTATATATCACAAGAGTCCAACATTATCAGAATCACTGCACATTTTATTTTAAATTTATAATAGATTTACATATATAATATATACAAATATATTAATTTATGCAAATACTCATACATAGATATAACTGTATATGTTTATATTTATATTATATGCCATTCAGTTTCTCTTTAGTTCTATCTGCTTTGAAATTCCTTCAACTATCGAAAGAAATTCCACCAGAGTCAACAAATTATCAAAACAAATAATTCTTAGCGGAACGCCAAGCGCAGCATTTTCTTTTCCTTTTCAACTGAATTTGTGCATACACAGTTATTTATATTTATTTTTATTATTATTATATTTTGTGATAAGATGGCATAGCAAATATACATTTGATTTGCTTTTTGTTGTTGCTGTTGTTGTCAATTGCTTTCTTTTATTTGTTTTGCATTCTTTAAGTAAAACACTTGTTGAAACGCGAACACACACGCACACATAGATACCGACACCGACACACACACACGCACGCAAATGCCGCTTTGAATCAGAGCTTGGCGTATATACCGTATAAAGCAGGCTGGGCTGCACAAGAGCCAAAACAAACACGAAAATGAACCAGTAGCGGCACAAAAGAGACAGCGAGAGTGAGAAAGACCGTAACGAAGCGCGACACAACCAACTTGCTCCACGTTCGCTGCTGGAATGAAACTAGTGAGCGTAGCCGCCAAGCCACTGGAGAGACGTCGCGTCGCATCGATTGTGTGTTTGTTTAGCTGTTGGAGCTCTTGGCGCTTGCTTGCATGCTGGCGAGGCATTTGGAGTTCTGGACTACAGCATTAACGATTTGCAAGACATTGTAGATGTAATAATAAAAAAAATTAGTAACAATTTTATTTCAAAAATACAATCAGTTGTTTAGTGTTTAAGCGGCTCACATTTGAAATTTATGCAAATCATACACGTAAATATTCTTCTTAATTGTGTATTCTATATCTTAAATTGGGTTAATTGTTACTTAATTAAGAAACAGACATTTTTGTTATAAATAAAACATATAAATCAAACTGTTTCATTTAACCAACTGTTGATTGAAATGAATGTTTGATAAACGAACAGTCCGCTGTTAACTTTAACATCATGCTCTCAGAGAGAGTAACAGACCTCTGTTGCAGAAGCGAGCGCTGCCAGACACAAAGCTGACTGCTATGGCGAAGCAAGGCAAAGCTATTAAAATACGCGACTTGAAGCAGTGAATGCAAAGTTAAGTAAGTTTATTATTTATTTTAAAATTAACTATTCTGATTGAAAGTTTAATTTTTGTTAAAAAGTTAAAAAAAAAGTTTTAACATAATTATTATTTTTTATTACCTATTTTGTTTTTAATGCAATATTTAAGTTACCCAGCAATGATTTTTAAGAAGCATATATATTGGTTTACAAAGGAAAGCAATTATAAAAATAAATTATTTTCATTTATATAAATTTAAAAAAATACCCTTACTGGTTTTTGTTTTCCTTGCAATCATTTCATCAAGTTTAAATGCTTATTTACAATGCCCTATATAGACTCAAAAGCTTTTGGCCTAAAAAAATAAAGAATAAATAAAGATTCTTTCAGTTTTAAATATTCAAAATATTTTTGTTAAATTTACCAGCTTGTCCATATAATATTTGTGTATGGCAAAGATTTCCTGTTTGGCGCAATTAAAGCTCAACTTTTATGGCAATTTAATCGGTAGCGCTTAGAAGTATTTTGCGATCATTAAAAGCAGATCTCTGTTTTCTAATTTTGGCCGATAGCCAGCCAACAATAACTGAGACAAGCTAATGCCATAAAAATCCAAGTGTGATGGAAGTTACGCCCATACCCAGTTAGCATGAATTACTTTTTGATTACTGGCCATATATACATATGGCTACATGGAACGATCGCTAGATCGATATGAAGCTAACTGTGATCGCCTTAAAAGGCCACAGTCGCTGGCCACTTTCGCAGCTGTTGGCGGATTTCCGCTCCCAAGCTACTAGAGTTTCCAGCCACCCAAATGACAAAAATGTGCCCATGATTAGAGAGCCTCGCAGTGGTCTTAAAGCCAAAGTTTGTCATTTGATACGGCACCGCAGGAGGAGGAGGAGTGAGTAGCAGCAGCAGCAGGAGAAGGAGGAGGAGGAGGCTGTGGAAGGAGGCCTAAGCACTCGAGCGATTAGCATGTTAAACAGCGGCTGCTTAAAGACTATAATTAAGCGACATAAACTTGGGTATTAGGCGCTAAATACACACACAGTCCAAAAAGCACACACATGCACACTGCTGAGGGGAAATTGAGTAAAACGGGGGCCCTCTCATGATTTGCATAACTGTTTGGCTGGGGCACGCACTCGACGTCTCGATCATCTTCTGGGTGTGAGTCTGGCCCATGGGCCCATGGGCCTGGCTTGCATTCGAAACAGACGGCAGACGGCATGGCAAACGAAAAACGGAGGCAAACAGACACAAGCACACACACACACGCACACACACTAACACATTAATATGCACCTGTCCACATATGCGACACGTTGGGCTTTCATTTGCTGCCTAAGAAAGAGTAAACAGTCCCCAGTCGCATATTCTATGAATACACTCCGCTCAATCGGGGTATTCTCAATATGATGATGCAGGTGTGAGCAGGTGAATAACTATGCTTAATTTTAATACTGATAGTACATACAAAAATATCTAAAAATATATAAAGACAAATCAACAAAATGTTAAATTTAATTTATGTATTTTTTAAATTTTTTTTTAGGTATTTGATTTATTTTTTTTTTAATAATAAATAATTTTTTGTTTTGTTTTTTTTTGTAAATGTTTTATTTTAAAAATTAAAAAATAAGTAATAATTAATAAAAATAAAGAAATTAGTTGAATTATATTTAAAAATAAGTAAATATATAAACATCAAGTGAATTTACACTAAATAAAATATATACTATGTATATACTATAAAAATTCAAATAGTAATTAAATTTAAATTTACATTCTGTCAGCATTTTTTTTTTTTTCAAATAATTTTTGAAGGGTATTTGTGTAGTCAATGTTCAGAACTTAATTTGCCTTTCCTTTCTTATTGTTGTTTTTTATTTATATTATTATTTTTTTTTTTCGTAACACAAAAGAATTTCCATCAATAATGTCAATAGTACTGCAGCAACAACAACAATAAGTACTTACAACAACAACAGCGACAATAACAGCAACAAGTCKACGACACTCCTTAGGAGCTGAGGCTTTTGGCTGAAGGCGGTTTGCATACGGCTCTATTAAGGGAAAGCGGGTATATAGGTTTTGTGATAATGCATTGAAGAGAGATGAAGTATTATAGAAATATATAAAGATTTATAATGAAGATAAAGATCATATATGTACATAGAAGCTAATCATGAAGATGAAGTTTCTATAATTGATAATAAATAATTAATTCAATAATATTGTGCATATTTTCATAAACAACATAAGTCCAGAAGCTTACAAGCGATGTGCTCTTCAGCTTCTCTAGAGGTTGAGCAAAAACTCCAGATGTACACTCCTCTTAAATATGGGGCGAAACATAAGAAAATACTCAAACTTTGAGCTGAGTCTCTCCAACCTTTGAGATTTGTTTTAATCTCCCAATTTAGAAGACCATGAGCGAGTATTGCGCAGTCGTCTACCCCAGCGACTGCAACGTTCTTAGCTGTTGTTGTTGTTGCTGTTTGGGCTGACAGCGACGCGTCGATGATGGGGCCAACGTCACGACGAATTATGACCACAAAAGCTGCTTGGGGTTTTAAGTTATTAGGTAACCTAACACAAGCACATACATACATTACTATAACAGCCCGCACAAATATACAAGTGCACATACACATATGTATATACATATATAATATTTCTCCTTTTTTACATCTTGCAATTCAATCGGATTTTCAGCTATATACGAAAATCAATAGTCCGAGCAATCGAGCAGCTCAACAGCCTCCCTCGCATCTGTTGAGCTCAGCTAAAAATGTATTTTAAGGTCAGTGCACACTCACCTGGGCGAATCTCGTTCAGGTGGGGCCCCAACTGAAACTTGACTGCGCCGCGATGCCGTTGGGTGGGTGGTTGGGCTAAACGCTTTGATCTAAATTTACATTCCGCTCTGCAAATGCAAACAAATTAAAGTTAAGCGGACTGAATGGACAAGTTCAAATTCCATATTAATGCAATTATAGAAAGGTAATTTTGGTAGAACATATATACATTTTATGTATGTATATATTTTTGACTAGTTTAGTATGAGTCAATAATAACAGAAAAT